TTGCTGAAAATAGGTAATTTACTTGGCTATTAATTATCGCTCTATACAGAAAAGTGAACCAATGAAGCGGGTAATTACAGATTGAAAAAGAACTATATTTATCTCACTAGAAAAATATTCTTAAAGGAAACAGAGATGAACCTAGAAAAATGAATGAATGTGTTGAAACAACTGATTGATTTAATTCACCGTATAAAATGTGTAGTGATTTTTGTCTACATGAACTTTGAAATTTAAAACGACTCAAGACAGCATTTTCTAGGCGTTATCATCAACGGTTCAAAAATTTGTTTTAGTAAGCCCAAATGTGTTCAGTGGCTCAGCACAGTCCGATGTATAAACAGTGAGTTGACGACAAGGACTTTATCAGCACTATCGTTTCCAGTTAAGCATGGACAACTGTCTCATATACTGCATATATGTAAATAGTGCTGAGCTAGGAACATTAAGTGGGTTCAAAAAGTTGAAAATTGCAAAATACTTCACCATCTTGTTTAAGAATTCTGAGTAAAAAGGAAAACCTTTTTTTCTGTAACACAGTACTTATTTCAAAAGAAAAAACGCCAAGAATATGACGTCAATTTTAGATGCAATAAGTCCCATCTTTACAACGGCTTACGAAAAATTCATAAACCAAATATCGATGAAAAAAACACTTGTTTTATAGTAGCTGACCATCCAGTATATTACCAATAAGCATATGGAGACTTAAGTAACACTGTAGAAAGCCAACAACAATACCACTGTCAATAAAAAGACGCTTCTTCAGCGTTCATTTTTTTTCAAATTTTTTGTACCTTAACTGTAGCTTCCAATTAGCTTTGACGTTTGAACTAATTTAAATAACCAGTTTTGTACATTCACTTAATCACTAATTCCACTTTGCATTATTACGTAAGACCACTGAAAATTAAGCGACTGATCTCTATTAACAGTTAACTAAAAGACTAGATACGTCAAAAAATCTTATGCTTAGCTTCTGATACAATAAGTCCCGTATTTCTCAACTACGTGGCACAGTTTTGTAATTTTAAAGACAAAAACAAAAAAATAATAGACATATGATATATTTGCCTGTTTTAACAAGTTCTAAAATCTTTTTCCATCACAATAATTCAAATAGACAAAAATTACGGCCTAAATTTATGAAAGAAGACTCGTTTATAAGAAGTATTCAATTTTCGTCGAATATTCCTCTGGATGATAAAACAATAAAAAAAAACGCAGATAATCCATAGGCCTCCCAACTCTACCGCCAATCACTGTTGCCCTTTCTTTATTTTCTTATGGAAAGTAAAATCAATTGAAAACTCAGTGGCACGAAATTAAGATTAATCGTGCAAAAGTTGGTAATTCGCTTTATATAGAGTTCAAAAACTACTATACTGTTCAGATGTAGTCTTGTCTAGTTGCTTAAAATTTTTGAGACTTTTTGTCCTTATTATCAGCATTAACGATATTTTTCTTACTGCTACTATTATCCCTACTATTACTTTAGTCAACTAATTAACATATGAAAAATATTGAATTGTAGATTACGACTAGCAGAATTACTCATAAATCTAAATGTTAACTTTGGCTTATATCTGAAAATGGAAAGCACCTTTCTTAAATGTCTCACACAATAAAAGAAGCATTTCTAGCATTACCGGTTCAAAATGTTTAAAAAATAAATACAAAGTACTGAATACAAACCATATACTGTAATTAATGGTGAATAGTTCAGAACATTTCATCTCGGGCGCCACTTAAATATGAAACCCAATTTTATGTACTACAATAATTAAAAATTTGAAAGGCAATTCTAGAGCGAAAGCAAGATAAGGTTAAGGAAGAGACAGGTTTCCTAAAAATATTGAAAAAAAAACAGTTACTGGCAATTTAACGCAAAACAAGAAATAACAACAAATAAAATGCCAATTACAACACGGCAGTAACTCATCTGGTGAAAGAGCACTTCATCTCATGCTTTGCAGATTCAAATGCAGATTCAGCACTTATTCCACCAGCGAAAAGCGCTGGTCAATTTACACCAAACGAAGCTTGATTAAGAAGAGTTAAACAAAAACAGTAACGAGAAGTCCAACAGATAATTTCAACAATGATGAAGGGCAGACAGCAAAATGTTTTCTTGGAAGAATATTCAAAAGAACCTGAGTATTAGCATGTTCTCGCTGCCTTTGATGCCTGCTTGATACACTGCTGATCATTAAATCAAACTGTACTTCACACAATGTCTCAAATATCCAGCTAACAGGCCTACTGCAGTATAAAATATTTGGCAATCAAAGTGTAAGATTTCGCGTAGTCGACCTCCTATCTCTATCCACTTTTGATACTGGTGCTCAAGTTGCTGTATTTAACAACACCGTGACTAATACTGATGAGTCATTCATTGCACCTCATCAATTTTCAAACGTTTGAAATAAGAGCAAAGAGTAAACTTTTTGTGCAATATTCACCTTTCACTAAGTAAAAATTGCACTTTTTTGGAGATAAAAGCCTCGCTGTTCAACTCTTTAAGTCATTATCGGCTCCTGTAATTTTGCACAACCTGGATGACACAAGAGCGTTTTCCAGAGCAACTAAACACCACACTGCGGTAGATAAAACGTAGACATTCAGCTCAAAAAAAATTCTGTAAAAGATACATCCGAAACAATTCTTGCATAACAGCAATCAAAAAAACAGTTTTAATGGTAAAAAATTAAAAGTATTATAAATTCATGGGCCCTAAACGTTGAAAAACCCGCAGAAATTTTATACGCAGAACCAGAAGTGGGCAAAAAAGTAAATCGTGTCACTTCCAAAATCGAACTACAGACACAGTTGATATTTTAATGCTATCCTAAGATGCTAAGCGAAAAAAAAAAGGTGAAGAAAAAATAGTAAAACTTCATTTTCTTCTTTATTTTTAAAAAAAAGAATTATTTTACTGAGACACCAAATTTGACTTTACCGGTGAAACCTTACAGTGAAGGTACAACAATTTTCGCTGATACAGCAGAAAAAAGCTAAACCATAACACTTCCATTCGCATTTGCCCTTCCAACCAACTACTAATACACATATACTACATACCGACGTTCAACTGCTCAAATAAACAAAACTGCATGAACACTTGTATCCCTGTTACTTACCATCTGCCACTAAAAACAGTTACCGCAGTAATAAAAATTAAATATATACTTATTAGAGCAACTAGGCATACCAGCAACTTCAAACTTAACGCAGTTCTTAAACATCCAAATTTTCAATAAATGCAAACTTAATTGTGGCCTAATGAAGCTGATGTGCCTAAATACAAGACTGTCAGTTAAGTGCTTAACAACAAATGACTTTCTGGTTTGGTGATAGGAAATAGACAGCAGTAACGTAAAACAACAATCATCTACTAGCCAATCACTTACGGCTTAACCGTCATCAACGCCCTTACCAAATAAGAATTTCCAGCAACAAACGAAGAAATCTGATATTTCAAAAAAAAATGAAGGGAAAAGGAAAACTGCCGTGACACCAACCTTGTTTCTTTTCCCCTTTTTCCAACCATTTACAAATTTGCATGTAACCAAACGTACAGCAAACTTGACAATAGCCCAAACTGTCACAAGCTCCCCTCCCTTCCAAAAAAAACTGTGCCGTTGAAGTTGCACTCAAGTAACCATGATCTTTTTCCTACCGGCCCTTGATACTTCTTAATCTCCAGTCATACAGTAGCGTCAACAAACGCCAGACGACTACAGCGGAAAAACGCAACAGATCTGGCAAAAAACAACCTGGTGCAAAACCCTTTAGCAAAAATGAACAAGTCCCAGTTGCTGTTGATTAAGCTCAGATCCCCGAGTAACCGTTGTTTAATCATACAGAAAGTACGATGAAGTGTTTCTAAAATAAAAAACTTCCATTTTTGGGTAGTTTCCATATTTTCTAAGCTGACAATGTCGAACCATCTTTACTAATTATGCATTTAACCGTTAATTACACTACAAAACAAATATAACCCGCAATGAAACAGCGTCAATACTAAGCTGAAATTCTCTAAAGATAAACTCTTTTTTTTTTCAAAATTTTTCAAAAAATAACAAACAGTGACAGATAACCTTAACCGTCCAAAACTTATAGTAGAAATTTTACCGCACAAAAAAAAACAGAACAATAAAATAACAGCTCTTCCCGGCTAACATCATTTAGGCACAAATATAGGTTGGTAGAATAAATAGCTCACGTCACTTCTATACCAAAATTAGACAAAACAGTTTGGGAGCACAATTCTCAACCAACTTCTCAGTAAAACCGCACAACATCTGGCATTCACATTAAAAAATAACAATGAAGTAGTAATGACTATTATGAATTAAAGCGGAAGAAACAATGTACAGCTGATATGTCTCACACCAAAACATTTGAAAGCGAAATAACCAAAAACCAGATACAAAATCAAAAGCAACATTCAGTTCACAATGAGTGCAATGTAGATTAACATTGTCTAAAAAATATATACAGAATGCTGAACGCCACTTTTTACCCGTTCGATACAGCTACAGCCACGTAATAAAATGTTGAATCTGAGTTCACTTCAATTGCACAAAAACTAACAGAGACATTAGAAACACAAAAAAATTACTTATTAATGGATTTTACTTTATATGCTGCAATAATTCAAACTAAAAAAGTCATCAGTCCACCGCAATCAAGAAACAAATAAACTGTTTTAAAATACCTTTAAAAATTTTTAAATAATTACGCGAATTATTTCATTGCCTATAGGGGAAAAATATGTGCATCAGATAACGAAACTTTCGCCGCACAGTGTTTCCTTCCATCCACTTAAAAAAAGTATATTACTTAAGAATTCCTTTATTCCGATGGAAAAAAAAGCAAAAAAATTTTAGTCTAGCAAAAAGCAAACTTTTTCCGAAACGTAAACAATGTCTTCTTTACCAAAAGTTGACACCCTAAAATCTCAAACTTGTCTTAATAAGTCAACGAAAAGAGATAAGATCTATCAGCAAATTCTATTGCCGCAAATAACAAGACGCAAAAAATCACGAAGTGAATGACAGGTAAAAAATATTGCCTAAAAATGATAAAAAGAAAAAAAAATACAGAACTGTTACAGATTACCCAAAAGAAAAAGACATTCCAAGTCAGCATCACTCGTCAAATGAAATATGTAACGGTATTTCAGACCAATTAATTCTTTCCATCTCCTTCCGATTACTTCTAACGATAACATCAATTTTGGGCTCACCTCCACCATAATGGCAGAAACACTGTTGATTAGCGCTTCTCTTGCAAGTCTTGTGGTGCGGTTCATGAAAGTGACCACCAAAAAAATGAGGACCAGCTATCTGGAACACTTTCCTATTGTTCCTGATAGAAAAAGTTGTATCATTGTACGTCGTTCATCCTCCAGTAATACAAAATATTTCAGAAAAATAGACAAAAAATAAAATATTCTAAAATATAAGCTCAGGCTACAATCAGAAACAAAGAATGACACTTTTGAAAAATCTAAAATTAGAACTAAAAAAAATAACTCTTGCACGTGATGCCCCAAAGCGACGACCCAGCGGATGCAGACCGTATTCACAATGTTTAAAATTAATTACTTCTCAAGTCACTTAAAAAAAAAAAACTCTGAAGTACTAAACATCCTCTATTACAATTTTCTACGCAAAAAACAACCATTCACTCAAGAAATAAAGCCCAGTAAAATATAAAGCGAAAAACTAACAAAAGAAGTAGTAAAACAAGCAAAACTGTGTCCACAGCTACTAGGAGTTTAATTTTTGTACCACCACCAAAGAGCGCTACAAATAGCAAAAAACTTAAAAACATAACAAGGAAACTGCAAATTGAAAGTGTCACACCAACTTAAGCAAAAACCAAAAAACTCAAAATACGCAAAACCAAAAAATATCAGTTAAACTGAAGAAAAGAAAAAAACAATAAATACCAATTAAAAAAGAAATAAACAAAAGAGTACCAAGAAGTCCCGACATAAGCGTTCCTAGCTGCCATGCATTAATTGGCCTAAAATCACTTCTGATCACAATAAAAATCCTCATTTAAGAAACAAACGATAGAATTTTTCTAATATAACACATCAAGTACATTAAAAAACAAAAAAACTTTTTCCTCTACCATAAAAAATGATGGAAAGATTTTCTTACTCAGTGCATGAGTGTTTATCATCAAAAAACATTTCACAGAGAATCTGTAACAAAGACGAGTTTTATCAAGAATTTTTTGCGACTAAACTATCACAAAAATTATTAAATCCAATCAGAATAATAATGCATCTTAAACTTTAAAAAAAAAAAAAATTTGAAAATTGAAAAAAAAGTTATGGATTTGACCTCCTTAACAAGAAATTCTCGAACTGGGCCTTCTTTACGAGAAGAATTGTCAATAAAACAAGGTAAACTTTCTTTCCCTCCAACGGTCAACCTGGTAAAAGCAGTCTTATCTGAAATTTTCAAACTTTTAACCTTTCCTTAAGAAAGAAGTTATCCAATAACTTAAAAAAGATAGCCGAAAGTCAAGTACGCTTTTGTAAAGCGCATTTTTACGACTAATAATTAAGTGATATTCCCCACTTCATGTGAATATTAAAAAACATTTAATTACGAGCACAGCGCTCCTGTACAACAAGATGAAATTTTAATTGCAAAGATTTTTGCTAACTTTGTGATAACCCTCTAGATGTCACTCTTCGACCGCTTTTTGAGACAGCAGAAGATTCGTCGTCCCGACTACCGTGAGATGTACGTAGGTCAGACCCTTAACAAAAAAACAGAAGTAATACGCCCGAAAATGACGAGGGAAGTTATTCAGTCGAAGTGGTAACAAACAGTTTCAAAATAAACGTCTGAAAATCTCGATTTGCTCACTTTAACAGTTCCCTAAAAGCGCATACAATAAAAAGCTAGAACCTTAAAAAACATATCTTTGGAAAGAAGTAATTTTGATGACTTAAGCGTAAAAAATATTTTAGTATGTATTTTAGCCGAATGACTTTGAAAAAGAAAGCTCAGCTTGAAAAAATACTAACGACTTTCTCTACAAACCAAACAATATTCAACACTCCCAAACTTTTATGAGTTATAAGTTCTCTCTTTCAAAAAAATGTTGCTATCGAGTCTCTAAAATCCCAAAAAATATTGTCCGCCATCATTATAAAAAGCAACTTCCGCTTCTGAAAAATTTAGGTTAGTCTGTGACAAAAAGCGTAAGAAATTGTCGGACAAATTTTTGTGGAAAATTCGTGTATAAAACCTACTTGACGACTGGAAAGGTAAACTGAAAAGGTAAACTAAAGCTATTTGACTACATTTTTTAGCAAATTTTTTTGCTGTTATTACCACCATAGACATTAAAAGAAGGAAATAAGTTGTACTGAGCTGCCTTTAATATTGCTGTAACAGGACAGGAACATCCTCCTATACAATCAACAATATAAATGAATTATTAGTATTGTACTGCAAGAAAAAAAAGGAAGAAAGAAGAGAATATCAACTAACCTGCTTTGTAATTAGCTACCGACGTACTGTCTAAATCACCTACTGCGCAAGCCAACTTTTCTCTTGGTAATTCTCTCCCTTTACCTAAATCTCAACAACCCTTATAAAATGAATTAAAAACTGTTATTCTGTATAAAAGCGGAACACCTCCACTAACAACCCGAAAAAAATTTAAAAGTGTAGTCATAAAACCAAATTTCTAATAATCTTTTTTCAACTACAGAATGCAGAATACCTGTAACCAAAATAAAAGACACTACGACCACGCCTTTATAAAGAGAGTACCAATAATTTAACCTTCAAGAAAATAATGAGTCAAAATTCAAACAAATTTCAGCTTTTCCACCAAGATAAGAAGTG